ATTTATTTTTACTTTCAATTGTTATCTTCAAAAAGAAGAGAGTGCCAGGCAGTCACATGACTAGGCCTTTTTCAGATATAGGTTAGGATGTGGTGATAACATATTGGTCCAGTTTAAATAATTTCAACATATGAAATGGTTCATGTTTGCCTTAGAAAAGCAGTACACAACAGTGGATGAAGGTTTTCAATCAGATTGTACTGAATTTAAATTCTGAATGCATTTTACTCATTTACGGGAAATCATATAAATTCTCTAAGTTCTGTTTTTCTTGTCTATAAAAATGAGTATAGCAATAGCCTTAGGCAGGTTGATAAAAAATATTCTAAAGGAAGTTGTGTGCTCAGACTCTGTCATATTATAACTGGTGCATTGTAGTATGAGAGTCAATGCTAGCTCTACAGGTTAAAAAATGCCACTCAAACATCACTTAGAATGCTAGAACCCTCTTTGTCACTATATGCTGAGACTTGGGGGCTCGGGAGAGGCATCCCAGGGCCTCTGCTCTTGTGGGAGGGAAATGGTTGCTGTCTCACCCACTTTCTGGATTCAGACCCTATAGCTTCACCTTTATTTGGGCTTCTGATCAAGATTTTTTGTTTTTGTTTTCACTCCCTAGACTGAAAACCAATCTGCAAAACTTTGGGAACAGCAGCACTGTACATGTTTTAAAAAGGTATATCAATGGACCTAATTAGGAGATATAGTCATTTCTAAAACTATAGTCCAAGAATATAATTAATCATTTGTATTTGCCTTTTAATACCAATAATTACTTTCCTATTTGAATCGAATACACATTTAACATCAAAGCCCAAAATTTATTGAGTTCTATCTATGTCCTAAGCACTGGCTTTAGTGTTTTGTTTTCACTTGAATTTAAGGTAATATTTCCTTTACACAAGTCAAGTCCTGCATAAGAGGACAAATCCCCTGGGCTGGCAGGGTGCACTTAGAAAGATGTTCTTAAGGTCTGCCATTTTTGTTTGATCAAAGGTCTCAGAACCAAAGTAAGATAATTATTGATAATTTGGGTGAAGACCTCTAACTCGAATCTAATTAACAGAATCTGTGGGCAATTTCAGGTATTTGGGCATCTTGCGCCAAACTCCTGAGCTGCATGATCTTCAGGTCCACATTTTTGGCATATTAGCTGAAAGAGTTAGACTGCTGAAATAAAGGAAAACTTCACTATCCACCACTCTGGAGCATTTTCAGCCTTGAACTTCATTGTCCCAACATTTCCAAAAGAGTTGGATGAAGCAAACACAATTTCCCCTGTGGTGTAGACAACACAGAAGCCACCTACAAAGATAATTTCACAAAAGAAATAAAATACAGACAGTCAGCGACTGTAAAGTCACTGGATAATTTAGGTCAGAGTGTCTGTGTACTGACAATTATTTCTTTGTTATTAAGGAGAGAGGATCATTGGCTGTTTCAATAAATAGTAGCTTAGTTAAATACTATGCTTTTAATGATGCAATCAACTTGTATTGGGTGTACGAGCCACAAACACAGAGTAAATGAAGGTTCTGGTTTACTTCTACTAGAATAGCATTTCAGAGTGTCAGTATCCTGGACATGGACTTCGATGATAAGTGGAGCTTCTAGTGACCAAGTCACATTTTGTTGTTTCCTCTTAAGTAGCAGAGCAGTAGGACTCACTGAAAACTGCTGTGGGTCTTCAAAGAGGAAAGTTACAGCCAGCGTTGAGTTTCTCTTTCTCCATCAAAACCTAAGAAGCAATTTTATCCAGGGGACCTCACGAGCTAGAGAAGAACCCTTTGAATAGCATCTGAGTCACTGGTTATGTTGGGTGTTCTCTTAAAGGAAAACTAAATGACTTGTTTGAATGAAAGGATGAAGAATTTGGTCTCTGTTGGTCTTCCCAAGCAATTACATCTACAACCTCTTCACAAGCCCTGTGCAGCCTCTCTCACCTCTGACCTCACCCTGACACTTAAAGAAAACTTAATACTTTGTGATTTATTTTATATTTCATATGCAACAATCAGCAAATGGAAGAGAGGTGCTTAGGAAAGTATGTGCATATATATATACATATATATTCCTTGTTTAGTAATGGTAAAAAAAGACATACCTTATGAAAGGGAATTGATGTTTTCTCTTTTCAGAAAAATTTCTGTGCCTTCCTCTTAATCAATACAATTAATGTAGCTTTTATCTAAAGTTGGCCTTTTTTGAAAAGCTGCTTTTCACTTGGAATCCAAAATCAAAAGGGTCCCCAATTAAGAAAACATTTTCTGTTGTGCAGAATTCATGTTACCGTACTGTGAGCTCTGACATTTTGTTTCTGTGGTAACCAAAATCAGCTGATTAGTTGGCATGGCAACAGAAAAGATGTAATCCCAGCAGACACACTCTAATCAATGCCCCCAGCACAGATGGTCTCCGGAGGATCAACAAGAAAGAGGCTGGCAGGCATTCAGCGATCACGTGCTAGCTTGAGACTAGGCCAGGAACAAGAGAACTAAAAAAGAACATTTCTCAAACTAACCGGTAGCATTTTAACCCTTTTCTTTCTCTGCCTGATTGTAAAGTAGTATTGACCATATAGTTGGACAATTCGATGCTTTTCACAAGGCTTTTGCGAAATAAAATATGATTTTTTAAAAAGCAGAGTATTCATTCTATTTTATTGTTTATTATGCTTGTACAGCACATATGAAATAGTACGCTTAGTGAATAGTTGCAGAAAGCTCATAGTATTTACTTAGAGATGCTATATATGCACTGTACATAAATGTGTCATATACTAGAGTGATACTGCCATTGAAATTAAAATAATTTGGGTAGGGTCAGCATTAGAATATAAATGTACAAACCTTTTTGTATGGCATGGTATATACAGGCTAAGATAAAAATGAAGAACTAGTTTTGAAAGACAAGGATGAGGGTAGGAAAACTGGTAGAACAATTCCATAATTTTCTTCTGCAGTACTAAATGTGTCCTCATAAATAACTGAGGCCAAAAAAAGTTAACCTATGCTTACAGAAGTGATAAGTGTATCTAGTAATAGCTGCAATTATTATTCCAGTTTGTAAAATCTAAAAATAACTGCAGGTACCTCAGAGAGGGCCCTTCTCTGCAAATGCCACTCTTTGGTCTTAGCACCCTCAAATTATATTTGAGGGTCTTTGATTCTGAAAACCTTGGTGATTGCTCTTCTGATTATTAAGCTTTGTTTTCAATTTGATTTGAAATTGAACACAGAAAAGAAAGGCTTGATAATGTGTGTTTTAAAACTCTAATTACATATTTATCCATAATCTATAATGTTCCTAGCATCAGGAAATTGCAAACTGTGCACTGCACTCCTGAGGAATATTAAATATTACTGTTGATTAGGACTGCGGCTGATTCTTTGGTTCACCAGTTGACCAAATTTTTATAAAAGCAACTCAGATCCACTGGCTTAAATGCTATTTGGAGAGAGAGCTTAACATTTATCGATGGACCAAATTAATACCAAAGGGTGCTGGACACATGGGATATTCAAAATCAGGTCACGCACTACTGGCAGACATCCCTTTAAAAACGAAGCACCAGGACTGGAGCAATAGTACAGCTGATAAAGTGTTTGTCCTGCATGAGCTGTCCTGGGTTCAATCCCTGGCATCCCATATGGTCCCCAGAGCTTTCTAGTTTGCTAAGACTAATGCCTGAGTGCATAGCGAAGAGTAACCTCTGAGCATCACCAGGCATAACCCCAAAACCTAAAAAATATAAAATAAAATTAATAAAGCATCCACTTCCAAACTAGTTTCTCTGTGATACTGAAGGGAGATGAGCGCACTGTTTTCTGCTAGACATATTATTTTCTTATACAGGATAAATTGTTATTTTACTTAATACAAGAACAAAAAAATCAGAAAGATTGAGGGTGGGGGGAGCTGGTATCATTATCAATAAAGAAGAAAAAAACCAAACAGTCCATTTGAAGTTTCTAAAAATAAAGGTACATAATTATCATTTGGACTAAGTTTGCACATAGCTAAGCTACATTTCCCATAAAGTGATTTTTTAAATCACAGTATGGAAATGTTCATTCCAAGAGGTGGCAAATGCACTGCCAAGAATACAGTTAGATGGATGATCTAAATATTTGAAGCTTGAGACCAGGGGGCTGAGTTTCAGGAGAGTGTTGAGGTCTCACAGAGATAACCTAGATGGTTTAGATAAAACCTCAGTCATTTGAAAGTGGAACATTCCAGGACAAGGAAGACTGAAAGAAAGGAAAATAATTTCTTAAACTGAATGAAGAAAGCATTTATCAGTGACTCAGAGAATGGGATTCTTCTTTATTTAAAGCTGCTGCTTATTATTCAGAATTACATCTTTAGAGAAACACTGCTTACTTATGGAAAGTTTCTGTTCTACGAAAGAAAAGAAATGAAAAAACAGGCTACAACAAAATGTTTCTTTTTAATTCTCAATGGCTGTAAGCTTTGCAAAAATACTTTGGCTTTGTAGAAGTGTAGCTACTTTATCAGGACAAAGTTATGCTTATTATCATAAAATTTTCCCCCTTAAAACAGAAGAATTTTTTTTTAATTACCTAGAAGTAATGCTAAACCTCAACCAAGAGCAAAGAAAAGATAAGCAGTTAAGAAAGCATTCCATAGCACTCAGGCTTTATTGCCCTGGACATGGATCATGTCTTCATCGGATATACAAGATTATGTAACTGTGTCTCCAAAATGAAGTATGTCCCGGGGGGATTGAATAGATATGTCGGAGTGTTCCACTTTTCACAGAGAAGATTCTCTAACATGAGCTTCAACCTTCAAGAGAGTCTCCTTAGTCCCTGAATGACAGCTGTCTCTTCCATTCAAGAGTGAGGAAGGGAAAAAAGAGACAAATACCAGCTTCCCTCCTACACTTAAAATGTCTATGAACAAGACAAAGATACCATAAAAACAATGGCAGTTGATGATTCGCTTTTGAATTTTATAACCATTTACCCAACCTTTATTCATTTTTATCATAGGCACTTGAAATATTATATTGCACCAAGATTTAAATCAAAACAAAACAAAGCTAAATAACATGTATTTTAATTTTAATCCTTTCAATAAAATTGTGCAAAAATAACAAACATTGATTTTATAATCTGGGATTTTGCAATTAACCCTAATAATTCAACTTTTCTTAACTATAAAGAGAGGGTTGCTGTTCTCCAAAGAGATTACAAATTAGTTTCACATCGAGTCTCCATTCAAATGCAATGAAGCAGCGTTCATTAAGAATAAACTCCCACTTGCAAGCAAGATTTTATGACTAAATATTTGTTCTTATTAATTTTTCTGTTTGCGAGAAGGCATAAGAGAAGTGTGTATAGTGTTTCAGAAAGGGCATTTGGGCGGAAATATGTCAATTATATGTGTATGGGAGGATAAGAGAAATAGAAAGTAAAGTAACTTTCTATTTACTTTCTAAAGTAAATAGAAAGTTAACACTCCATCTCTTCGCTCTTTATACCCGATCCTTCATAGGGCCTTCAGAAATTAGGTTATCAGAGTCACCATAAAGCTTAGGCTCACCTTAGGCTTAAATCACCTTAGGCTCATTTTTTAACGAAACTCTTTTTTTTTTTAATGTAACTCTTAAAAAGTATTATGGCAATCAAATACTGACCACATAACAATAAAAATCTATTCTTTTTACTGTAGAAGGCCCTTTGTATAATATCCATACCTTTAATTTAGCATCCTAAATTTATTAGACAATTGAACTTTAATTTTGACTTTCAGATTCTGTCACATATGATTTCCATGTGTTCTATATCACTTGAATCCATCAGCTCAGTGAGGTCAGAAAGAAAAAAATGATGATCAGGCTGGAGCGAAAGCACAGCGGGTAAGGCGTTTGCCTTGCACGCAGCTGACCTGGGTTCTATTCCCATATGGTCCCCCGAGCACCGCCAGGAATAATTCCTGTGTTCATTGCCATGTGTGACCCCAAAAACCAAGAAGTAAAAAAGATAATCCTACAAACAATAAGATGTAAGAAATCATCTCAAAATTCTGGACAACATCCGTGCTTATTGACCTGGAAAGCACCCAGGAGGATGAGTGGTTTTGCAGCCCCCAACCATACCTTGGTGAACATGGGCTTCCCGTGCTGGGTGACCATCGCACACTGGTCGCAGTCCACCGTGATGGAGGAGTTGTGGTATGATTCTTTCGAGTGCTTGAGGATGTAATACAGGTCGGTCACCCCACCTTCGAACACAGTACTAAAATAGCGGGGGATGAGGGTCCTGCCAATAGCTGGGAGAGGAAGACAAAGAAACAAGCATTGTTAGAAGCATTATAAAGTACTCTCCAGGCTACACATACCTGACACTGACGGTAGATGGCCAACTGCATTGCAAACCACCTGAAGAAACAAACCTTGCCAAGGAGCAAATTTCCCTTTGGAGGGTAGAGGACAATTGGGACATGCCTTGGCTCCTCGGGGTCTGTTCTTGGCAACATGCTCAGGGATGTCCCCTGGCAGTGCTTAGGGCATCATATGTGATGCCAAAGTGTCAGTCTTATGCAAGGCAAGCACCTGACCACTTGTACTATGACGCTGGCACCCAAATTTCTCTCTCTCTCTCTCTCTCTCTCTCTCTCTCTCTCTCTCTCTCGCGCGCGCGCGCTTTTTGGGTCACACTTGACAATGCACAGGAGTTACTCCTGGCTCATGCACTCAGGAATTACTCCTTGTGGTGCTCGGGGGACCATATGGGATACTGGGAATCTAACCCGGTGGGCCATATGTAAGGCAAATGCCCTACCCACTGTGCTATCACTCCAGACCCCCAAATTTCTCTTTATAAACAACTGTAATTCTTCTGCACGTTAGTTAATAGAAATACCGAACTATTCAGGAAAACTTAGTGTAGTCTTTCTCCAGAGTTTGTGTTCATTGGAAGTCACTAAAGTACTGGTTAGTCCTCTAAAAATAATAGAAAAGAACACTAAGTGGATATTGGATCTTTTTAGTACTGGCTCAACGAACAAACTGCAAGTTTTTTTTTTTAAAAAAACAAATTAGATGCTTGAACAATGTGTTTATAGGTCAGTTGTTCATCAGTCTCTTAATACTGTTATTGGTAGTCATGATTTGTATCATATGAAATATTTCTCCTTACTTTTATCAGATCTTCAGAACACTAAGAAAGGGACTGAAATACAAAACATGTTGTTGTGAAAAATAATAAATTATTGTGAAACTTTCTAAATGATGTAACTTGATAGTAGATAATTGGGGCCTAACTCAAAATCTGCAAACACTCTTCTCATCAGTGTTTGGAAAGCACATTCCAACACTAAGTCTCAAACTGCCTTAATAAGTCGAAATCCTTAAAAACTGATCCCTATCTCCATATACAAAGAAGTTCCTATCCATGTAAATGCTCATTATTTTATCTTTTTCTGTAGGTGCATATTTTTCTACCATAAAGACCCACTACAGGGGGACTTATAACCTTCTTCTTGGTCTAAATTGGTTTCTTTCCTTCCACATGCCCTGCCCTACCCATTTTAGCTTAAGCTATTGGTAAGTAGCTGGGTCTCTCTTATATCTGAGGCTTAGGAAGAGCTAACAAGCCCTTGCATTAGCAGAAAATTTAAATCCTCTTACACTGAAATCCCAACTCATAATATTAGGAATTTTGCCTATGTGCAGATTTTGCAACAAAGTACTAAAGCACTCTCAAGCAATCTAAGGTTTTTAATAAATCTCTTACATTCACTATAAAATACCTCCTGAAAGACAAAAATAATATTTAAGATAAATGCATTATTAAAGAGAGCTTTAGTAGGAAAGATCATACAATCTTCACTTGAATTTTAAAAATATTTAATTTCATTTAAAAAGAATCAGTGCTAATCCATTCCATATCTTTTTTGTCTGTGGATTTGAAAAATTAGAATAACCATAAAAAATACACTGCGAAACCATTTTCTGAAGTGATCTCTGAAGAAATCTGTTGTGGATGACTAGTTCCTGAATAATTTATATAGTTGTTATTGCTTCATATTTACAGCAGTAAAATCAATCAACAAGTGTGTATTAAATACTCCCAGTTCTCTGGCAATCCCATTCTAAACAATCTTGATACATATATTTTCAAAATACCGTCCAATCCTCAATAATGCATACTCATTTTCTAAATATAAAATTTAAATAAAACTAATTTGAGTCTGTCATATTCTTTTTCTTTTGTTTTCTCCAGTCCAAATTCATTTTTGGACTCTTCTAGAATTTCCTTAGTTATTATACTTGATATATTTATGATTTTTAGTTTTTTAAGCCAGTATCTGGGTTTTAATGATACTATGCATATATATGTATAATACATATATATTATTGCTACAAATATTCTGTTACTTTCTGTCTTTGCCTTTAGTTCTTTGAGCATCATATAATAACTGAATGGAAGTCTTTATTTGTTAAATTTGACACTGTGTTCATTTATTTATTATTGAATCATAGTGAGATATGAACAACACTATAGAGTTGTTCATGATTGGATTTCACTCATATTGTGTTCAACACCTGTCCCTTCACCAGTGTACATTTCTCAAGACGAATGTCCCCAGTCTCCTCCCCACCACCTCTATGGCAGGGACTTTTCTGCTCTCCCTCTCCCTCTCTCTCTCTGCAATATGTTTTACAGTACAGATACTGAAAAATTATCGTGTATATTCCTTTACCTACTTTCAACTCTCAGTTCTTGTCTGGTGTGATCATTTCCAACTTTTATTGTCATCCTGGTCACTAGTCTCTTCTGACTGCCTTTTATCCTCACTGGTCAATGATTGGAAGCTACCGCAAATGTGTAGGGGGAAGAGGGCAGTTAGGAGAGGAGAGTCTGCCATATTCTTAAACATATGCAGTGATTAATATAAGAAAGTCTTACTAATGCAAAAATCCTTATTGTACTTGTTAAACAGATAAAATTAACAGCGCATTTCAAATATTCTAACTTAAGGCTTACCATAAATCAGCTCTAGTAGTTTGACTTTTGGGGATTTGTGCTATGGAGCACAAATATAAATCATAAAAAATTATATTGAGAGTAAAAATTGGGTAGTACTACTCTACCCAATAATGTGTTACATTAAGAAGTTTATTGAAGGGTTGGAGCAATAGTACAGAGGGTAGGGCATTTGCCCTGCCCACGGCCAACCGGGGTTCGATTCCCAGCATCCCATATGGTCCCCTGAGCACCACCAGGAGTGATTCCTGAGTGCAAAGCCAGGAGTAAGTAAGCCCTGTGCATTGCTGGGTGTGACCCAAAAAGCAAAAAAAAAAAAAGGAAGAAGTATATTGAATCAATAATCATCCCAAATATAAGTAAACTAAGCTCATAGAAGTCCCAGAAAAAGTAAAGAGTAAATGAATGGATTTAAAACTCAAAGTCAAAATACATGGTTCTTTCAATAGACTCATTATGATTGTAGAAACAAACAGGCTCAAAGTGAAGAAGGTAAAAATATATATTCTAAACTAACGGTGAAAAAGTTTAGTGTCAGTTAAATTTATTCTCCATAAAATAAACTTCCAGTCAAATGAGGACTATGAGGGGGAAAATGACATTATATAAAGTTAAAAGAACAAGTCACCAAGAACACACAACACTTCATAATATGCTCTAACATAGGAGCGCCAAAATATGCAAAGAAAATATCAACAGACCTAAAGAAAGAAATGTCACAATACACTAATAGCAGTGGAATTCAGTATTTTGCACACATCAATGGACAAGACATTCAGATAGAGGAACAACTAGGTAACAATAGCTTTAACTAATACATAAAGGGATAGAGCAATAGTACAGCAAGTGAGAGCTTTCCTTGCACACTGCCGACCCAGGTTCGATACCTGGCATCCCATATGGTCCACCAGGAGGACCACCAGGAGTAATTTCTGAATCAGAGTCAGGGAAAAAACCTTGAACATTCTCAGGTGGGGCCCAAAACAAATTCACTAACAGAAAACAAATCTGATTGATGATATTAAAAACTTCTAAAAAAAATAATGAATTAGACCAGATTGACTTAAAACATAGAGAATATTTATTTCATTGCAACAAGATACTATACATTCTTCTCAAGTGAACATGGAAAATTCCTAAGATTATATAAGACAGATGTCTCAATAAGTTTATAAATCCACAGTCCACAGTCTTTCCATTGTTCATCGATTTGCTCAAGTGGACCCAGTAACGTCTCCATCATGAGACTTATTGTTACTGTGTTTGTCATATTGAATATGCCACGGGTAGCTTGCCAGGCTTTGCCATGTGGGCGAGATACTCTCGGTAGCTTGCCGGGCTCTCTGAGAGGGACAGAGGAATCGAACTCGGGTCGGCCATGTTGGCTGTGTGCAAGGCAAATGCCCTACCGCTGTGCTATCGCTCCAGCCCAAGTTTATAAATATTGAAGTAAAAATCAAGCAAATCTTTTATTTTTGGTTTTTGGGAGTCATTCAGCAGTGCTCAGAGATTACTCCTGGCTCTGCACTCAGGACTCCTGGTGGGCTTGGGGCACCATATGGGGTGCCAGTTGTCTAGCCTCGGTTGAACACATGAAAAAATGCTCTACCCACTATAACCATATTTGTGCCTTCAAAATCAAGCAACTCTTTGGACCACAAGCATAGGTAACAACAACAACATAAAGGTCCAATCAAACCTATAAGGAGTGATTCGTGAGTGCAGAGCCAGAAGTAAGCCCTGACTATTTCTAGGTGTGGCCACCCAAACAAAAATAAATAAATAAATAAAAATAAAAGTCTAAAGAAAAGCCAACAACATATAGAATCTACGGGGTGCAGCAAAAGTGGTACTAAGAGGAAATTTCATGGTAGAAAACAAGAAACAGCTAAAATAAACTAGCCATATATCTAAAAGAATATATTTTCTAAGAACCAAGTCCAAAGTCATAGAAGCAGGAAAGTAATGAAAATTAGGACAGAAATAAGTGGAACAAAGACAAAAATGACAATACAAAAGGCTGATAAGATTTGAGGTTGGGGAGAAGAAAAAAAAAGTTTGATAAAAGAACTGGTTCATAGAAAGATAAGACTTACAGACATTATTAGCATCCTCACCCAGATCCACACCCACCAACTGGCCCCCTGGCGCCGTGTAATCCCATCAGTGGCCAAGACTCAGAGACTATAAAAACCAGCTCCCGGAAGAGAAGAGTGCAGTCTCCTGCCCCCGCGCCTGGCTGTCCTCGCTGGGGCCCGTTGGAGGGGAGCGGGTTGAGCT